TACGACACCAATTGCATGAATACTCAGTCAGTCTCATTCGTCTAGTTCTATGAGATCTCCCCAAATGTGATGGAGTACTCTCGACGCTTTTCTGGTTTGATCTAAATCTCTCAGTCGCTGCACTGAGGAATCCGTGAAGAAAAGAGGCGGAAACATCCGCTTCGCTTCCACTTTGTGCATTTGATGTCGGGAAAGGATTAACAAAGGCTGTAGACGCAGAGGGCATCTTTTTAAATTTTTCCAAAGCAATTGTCAACCATTCATTATGAGGATAAATTATGTCCTTCAAATCTCGAGTATCAGGAACGTTCGTTGATAAGGTAGGTATTGAGGAGGTGAAGGAAGGAAACATGTGGGAACCTGTAAAGGAGTAATTGTGAGTGATAATTCTAAATAGTGCATTTCGTAAAATGCATTTCAGTAGTGCTTACCTGCAGTTACGTTCGCCATCAACTTCGTTGCATCAATCATAAGTATATTCCCTAATGAAGAGTGCTCCGTAGGAGATGGAGTTGGGACAATTCGGTTCAGATGAAGAGGTTCGTTTGAAATGGAAGTTAAGGAGGTGATTCGATTTGGCCTTGACTCCACTTTAGAAGAATTCAGCTCAAACTGATTTGGATGAAACAAATTCGGAATTGACAATCTGGTTCGATCCAGTGTTAAATTATTTTGCAAATTGAGAGGAGGGTTAATTTCGAATGCACTTGGCCTCTGTGTCCACAACATTTGAGGCTCAAACGAATGGGGCCTTGAACTGCCCCACTCCACTCCATCTGATTGATTGCGGTCTGCTTCTGTAATCAACGCATTTCTAGCATTGCCATTCACCCCAGTCACCACCTCAGACGGCATCTGGAAAGTCGCTGTACCACTTGCATTTCCCACATTCAGTGTGGATGGGCCTGCAATGGGGGACATAGAGCATAAGTTTAAGTTGATAATAAAATCATATGAGCAAAAGTTAGAAATTGAGTATCCAATGCAGTGAAGCATTGGAGTGTAAACGTTCTAGCTTCTAGCAAAGGCACCGCTGTGCTTATTTACTACTCTCTTGATGGTGTGGCAATAATTCTGCAACAATTGACAATGCAATCTATCACACTTTCTTCCCATTTGAATAGAGTCTGCATGACACTAGTTGCAATAGATCCGACTGGTATCTCACTGTTTGACTGGCAAACATCAAACCAAATTGCTGAGTATTATGCATTGGATAAGAATTGGAGTAGTACTGGCTCCTATTCTTATGCTAAAGTTCTGCTCGTGAATACCTGATCAGCCAACAGATCGTGATGGGGCAGTGCGTTGTTTAAACCCAACCTGGAATATATAACACAGCGAATTCAACTACTGCCCAATGGACACCAGCTTCCATTCAATATAATAGTCTATAATAAAGTTACTATACTTTCACTTTTTAACACCTCACTACCGCCAGACAAAGTCGGATGATTCTCCCTCCTATGGAAACATAGTGCACACAACAAGATAAATAAGCATTTGCATGCATATAGAAATTGGCTCTTCAGAGGCCTTGAT